TTCCATAACAGTGTAAGTGTGTATCTATCTAGTTTAAACATTCTGACATACAAAATATATCTATTCCATAACAGTGTAAGTGTGTATCTATCTAGTTTAAACATTCTGACATACAAAATATATCTATTCCATAACAGTGTAAGTGTGTATCTATCTAGTTTAAACATTCTTACACACAAATATATCTATTCCATAACAGTGTAAGTGTGTATCTATCTAGTTTAGATATATTTTTATGTAAGAATGTTTAAACTAGATAGATACACACTTACACTGTTACGGAATAGATATATTTTTTATGTAATAATGTTTAAACTAGATAGATACACACTTACACTGTTATGGAATAGATATATTTTTATGTAAGAATGTTTAAACTAGATAGATACACACTTACACTGTTACGGAATAGATATATTTTTTATGTAATAATGTTTCACCAATGACGTAATACTGCAAGGCGAAGAACAAAGCTATGTAAATACTGTGTATATTAAATATGAGGGACCTGATCTAACGATTTCATTAACTTCTGTTGTTAAGAACAAAGCGATGTAAATACTGTGTATATTAAGTATAAGAGACCTGATCTAATGATTTCATTAACTTCTGTTGTTAAGAACAAAGCTATGTAAATAATGTGTATATTAAGTATGAGGGACCTGATCTAACGATTTCATTAACTTCTGTTGTTAAGAACAAAGCGATGTAAATACTGTGTATATTAAGTATGAGGGACCTGATCTAACGATTTCATTAACTTCTGTTGTTAAGAACAAAGCTACGTAAATAATGTGTATATTAAGTATGAGGGACCTGATCTAACGATTTCATTAACTTCTGTTGTTAAGAACAAAGCTATGTAAATAACGTGTATATTAAGTATGAGAGACCTGATCTAACGATTTCATTAACTTCTGTTGTTAAGAACAAAGCTACATAAATACGCCCTTCCTGGGTATTGGAAAGCTTGTATAATGACAATAACAAGACAAAGAAATAACCATGAATATTTCAAGATAATTTTTATTGTTGAAAATGAGTCTAAACCACATCTAAAAATTTAAAAGTGACTACTTTTTCTCTTTTCTTTCGTTTTTAACTTTTTTTTCTTTTCTGTCTGAGGAAAGATCACTTGACTTGTACGATTTAATGGATCTTCTGAGCCACAGGATAGCTCACGAGTTTGTAAAACATCCTTTTTTCCCTTTCTGTGACTTTTCTTTTTCTCTGAAGTTGGCGATTGGAGCCCGTTGCTTCTTTCATTCTCATTGGTTTCACTTGCTGATGGCTGTAGAGGCTCAAGAGTGAGTTTTTTATTTTTTTTCTCTCTCACGATAGATGTATTCACATTATCTGTTGCCATGTGATCTCTGATATCATTCTGAGATTTTTCTAATAATGAATTATTTTCGTGATTTTGTTGAATTTCTGGGTCCTCTTTGTTAAATTTTGATTTTTTTGAAGGAGAGTAAATGTCTGTGTTAATGGCAGATTTTCGTTTAAATGTCTCCCTTTCTGGTTTTTCGGATTCTTTGTTGGAAGTCTGCTTGGATTGTACACTTAATTCACTGTCAGAAAAAGATGTTTAGCTCATTAATACGGAAGAGACATAATACATTATCTCAGGTATCACAGTAAATATCGGAAACATCATAAAACTTAATCACAATTATTATTCAAGACAAAATTAAGGTGATGCACTACTGAATGTCTGTACAAACAAGAAATTAAAATTCACAAAAAAAGATTTCATAATATTGATTTATAAACTGACAATCTCGTTACAATTATTAAACAAAGTGTTCAACATTGTAGAAAAAAATGAGTGTACTGGAAGGACACGACCATCACAAACTTACTTTTTATGTAGTTACACACACACACACACAAAATCTGTCTTAAAGTATAAAATAACATAGCTAACTTAACAACCTTCTATAAAATTAGTTTGATTAAAAAATTTCTTGAATATTTCCAAGGTTAATGTGTATAACAATCTTAAAAAATGTTGGTTTCCACATAAAAAAGTGACTAGTCTTCAAATATTTACAACAAAAATGCCATAAGTCGTATGCTAGCTAGATACATTAAACACTTAATAATTACAAATAAATGTTAATGAGGACACTCGTTAAGTTATGCTATTAATATGTCGCAAAGTAAGTAATAAATGACAACCCAGCACGCGAGGAGTTTAAAAATTTAAATCCTAGACGTTTGCAAAATACGTCAAGTCCGTTTGTTTTAATGACAATAACGTACATCAGTTTTATAAATATAAAAGATTACCTTTTGATTTAAGAGTTGGTAACAGCGAGTCACAAGAGAAGATCCAAAATGGAATAAAAAAAAAAAATGTCATTATTTTTGTTAGATTCCTCTTGCAGCAAGTTATGAAGATGACTTCAGAACAGAGGTTATTGAATTTGGCTAAATGTACTTAAGTACATGTTGTCGGAACACAAAGACCGAGCTTACCCTCCAAGTTTGGCAACCAACTTCCTCCACGTGTGTTGACCTCGCTTTTCTAGACGTTTCCGCTCCTTACCACTGATACCAGTGAGAATGGACAGAAGGTTCGGATGATCTCGGAGAGGACACTGTTACGGAATAGATATATTTTGTATGTAAATACAATCTTGAGAACGATGTAAAAACCTTCTTTGGACTGATTATCATTAATAAAAAAAATCTGTTTACCTTTTAAAGTTCATATTATAAAAAACTACTTTAAATAACTTCAAAGTATTAAAGTACTCTGACGGCGTATGACATGAACAAAAAATATATTGGAAGATTAACGTTAATTAGATTCAAACCGAAACCAAAGATTCCAACTACCACCACATAAACATTTTCAATAAAGAAGAACATAGCATACAAACAACAGTTGAAAAGGTTTTGTACGTTAAAACTTTGACGAATTAGTGTTACGAAATAATATCGTCTGGACATTGTAGGTGGTATTAGCTACATTCTTCATTTTGTGTCACGAAATAATATCGTCTGAACATGTAGGTTGCATTAGCTACACTCCTCATTTTGTGTCACGAAATAATATCGTCTGAACATGTAGGTTGTATTAGCTACATTCCTCAAACTCTTACGTTCGTTAATAGCTTGATTTTTTTGCGAAAAATGACCTCCGTTTATAACTATTCTTGAATGGCCACCTCTTAGCTCAGGTGTGGCTAACCTGCCATTTAGAAAACATCCCGCGTTGTGGGACATGTTATAAACTTTATTTGGTTTTCTACAAACGTGTGTATCGTCATTAACATAAATGTCGGATCATTGGTTACTTCTTTCCTTTTGAATACTTGAAACTCTCTTTTATATTCCTCTTGGACTTTAGTTTGGAATGCTTTATTAAATTAGTGGCATCTTACTCAGAATTCAAAACCTATAATCGTCACAACTGCTAACAATAAAAAAATTGGTGTTGTAGAGCTAACCTTCAGTAGAAACCTTGTTAAGAAAAGAATAAAAAGGCAACACAGTGGACTACCTAGGCCCTGTTAATCACAGGCTTGTTAACTACAAAGAAAACAATATGCTATTTGGGCTCTGTTCACTGTAGAGAATAGAAATCCAGATTCTAGCATCATTACTCCATAAATATATATGAGAGTGGAGATTTAGAGATCAGCCAGAAATGTTACTATACTGTCATGTAAATAGACAAAATTAACTGATTACTTCCGCAGATTATAAATAGTTTATACTTATTACTTTATATATTAATATAACACAGTTAGCGAGGATTGAAAGCATTAGTTTCATCCACATTTATTTTAGCAATAATTCGGTAACTTACCTGTTCCCGGCTCAATAGCAAGTAATAAATAGTATTATTTATAATTGAATAAATAACTTGATTGTTGAAATTCAATTGAATTAGCAGGTTATTATCTTTGAAAACTTTAAACTAAAATCTGGTAATCAAGTCAGTTTATATTAATACAACAACAAAACGAAATTCCTATACAAAGGGTTATCTGTGCTGTACCTACCACGGGGGTATCGAAACATGGTTTTTAATGTTAGGCCTTCAGACTTACCACTGAAACACGGCGGAAGGGGTGCTCTTTTACGTCTGTTTATTGTTAAAAAAAAACAACAAAAAAAAAAACGAAGGTTTAGCTAGAACGAGAAAACGACACTTGAAGTCTTTGTTGATGAAATCAAGAGTTGGAACTAATCTGAAACATTTTATTTGAATTTATTATGAAATTTCTACAATATAAAATGTAGGCCTCAATAAATATATTTACTTCCGTTTCCCAGACATTCTGATAAAAAATACAAACATGACAACTTTAAGCTGATATTGAAACACCTTAACTTCCACTATATTTTTTGGCTAATACAGAATTTTGGGGATGGTGTTGAACAAGAATATAAGCATAGTGATGGAATATTTATTAAATCTCTTAGGTTAGTAGTTTAAATATTAGCATCAACGATAGCCCTCAACTCGAGTTAGCCACACTTCTGGTTTCTAAGAAAGTTTAGGCTTAATAATGACCATGTAAATAATAATAATAATATATTATTAGATTCCTGCTGTAGAATTAATCCTTACGCTAATGACCTTTGATAGAGTTGACCCCTAGCAGTAATGCTGCTTTAGCGTAATTTTTACGCTACTGACCTATGACAGAGTTGACCGCTATCAGTGCAGACTCTATAACCTACTACTCTTAACACCTATATCTATTTTTGTTCCTAATTATGTATATTTTTATTATTTAATATGAATGTTTTACCCATCTTTAATGCCTGATATCATAATATATAATAAAGATAGTGAGTACATCACAGAAATTGAAATAATACTGACGTTGCAAGTTCATTACACAAGTGAAAATTGGGCTAAGAGGTCAAGTGTAATCCCTTAGGTTCAAATGTAGTCATCACTAATTTTGAGCTCCAGAGGGAGAGCAACAGTTCAGCAGCACCCTCCGCTACAAGGGCTTTGTATGACTCTTTGAAAGGGGCTATTAATTATCACTTTTATAACACGCGTACAGCTAAAAGTGCGAAGTGTGTTGAGTAGTATCATGCCTGATACATTAACCATTAGACTAAGCGCGACCCCGTTAGAGAACTACTTTACAGTAAAATATACGATAATAACAATAAGTAATGAAATAATATTAACACAGTGCGTTACACGAACGTTTTACCATAAAATATTTAACAGGGTGTGTTTTAAACGTAACAAATATAAAATTTCAGGTCAGAAACTGGAACTCCTTTGTCTCTTGAAATCCAAGAAGAACCGGAAAATAATTATAAAGCTGGAGAAACTCCGCTATTTGAGGACCCTTCTTGGAATGAACGAACTACTGAATGTCTCCCAGAAAGAAAACCTCCTGCTTTTAGCAGATTGTAAGTCTTTTTTGTTGTTATTTAAGCGCAAAGATGCACAATGGACTGGGCTATCTGTGCTGTGCTCACCACGGGTATCGAAACCAGGTTTTAGAGTTATAAACCTTCAAACTTATTGCAAAGTCACTGGGATGGGGGTTTATTTTTGGAAGCAGTATTTTTTCATTTTCTTGAGCCAGTTAATGTCACAACTCTCTAATTGTTTTCAGTGATTACTGCTATACACGAGGGCTAGTTGTTACAGCGATTATTGTTTTTGTCTGTTATTAAGCATAAAGCTACACAAAGGGTTATCTGTGCTCTGCCCACCACTGGTATCGAAACCCGGTTTCTAGCAGTATAAGTCCGCAGTCATACCACTAGGGGCTACACCGATTACTACTGTAATGTGTCGTAAGATAGTACTCCTGTGTGTGTTTTCTTATAGCAAAGCCATATCGGGTTATCTGCTGTGTCCACTGAAGGGAATCGAACCCCTGATTATAACGTTTTAAATCAAAAGACTTACCGCTGTCCCACCAGGGGGACAGAACTCCCGAATCTCTCGTATCTTTACAATATTATATAATTTTTTCGATTTATACTGTGACTCTGTTTATAATAAAAACAACTATTGAATAACTTTAAATTTGTCTTAGTCATGTTTTTTTTTTTATAATTGGATGAGTAAAAAAAATTACTGACATTGATACCCTCCAAGTTATTAATAATTATATTTTTCGGATTCTTAGTTTATGAAGTTATTACATAAAAAAAGGATAAAAGAAAAAAATGCATTATACGTTTTTTTGGTAATTTTGCCCAAAAGGCTTAGTGTTATAAAGATCAATTATTTGGTCAAATAGTACGAAGTAAGATCTTGCAAAGTTCTGTAATTATTACATAAATATGATTTATCTAAAAACTTCACAATTTATGGTCCTGAAAAAACATCGATACGTTTAGCTATAGTTTTTTTCCTGTTATGTTAAAAAGTTGGGATTCTTAATATTATTTTTTATTATTGCAGATGGAATTGGATTCATTGGGATACTCCAACGGATTGCTTACTCCTAATGCCTTCTTCCATTGCTCTCCCTTCTACGGGAATAGTCTAAAAATTATCAAATATAAATCTCATAATGAACTTCGTAACTGCAAACCTGTTTCAAGATTTTCTAGTTAATCGTGTAATTATTTTGAACCAAAACTATCAGTTGTGGTTTCGAACTTCTTATAGCCAGTTTTATATCACTGTTAGCAGGCTAATGACGTATAGGCTAGGCTTCGTATTTAAATTGACAAAACCACGAAGCCCAGAAATAAAAACAAAAAACACCCCCCCCTCACAAAATAGAAACACAAGCGCCCCTAGTGACTATAATTAGCAATCGAGAGAAGATGGATTATTAACTTATTTATTTAAATATACCTTAAAGCAGCCTAGTTAAACCAACTTCGTCCCTCATCTTATGTCAGCCACATACTTTTTTCTAAAGTACAGTGTTATTTACCAGTATTTTTCCCGCCATTATTTTACTAAGACAATATTGGTGTCACATTCATTCCTTGTGATATTAATAATGAATTTTAGTCACGAGAAATGATCATTTATGGCGGTAGGAGGAGATACCACTCTACACTAATAATTCGCTACATTGTGTGCTACTGTTTCAAAGAGAAAATTGAATCGTCAGCTATCCTCTCACTGCTGGTAAATATCAACAAAGAGAAATTTGAACCGTTAATTAACCCTTTCAATGCTGCTAAATATCAACATTAATTTCTTACGGAATAAATATAACGTGTTAAAATGTTTTATGATTAAGAAACATTGATGATTTAATCGACAAGATGAAGCCTAAATAGGAACGTGTAAATAGTGTTACCTATACATGTATATATATATATATATAATACACACACACATACTTACGGTTATAAGTATATATTATTTTTACTTTTGCATCTGAATTATTAATGACAAAATACTTGCACAGAATTAATAAACTTTTTAGTTAGTAACTTATTTAAAATAAACTGTTACCACTTCATTTGTTTATGTCATCTATTTTTACAGCCATCGTTTTACGCTTATTATTAAGAATGCTTTTCACTTACAGTCAACTCTGTCAAAGGTCAGTAGCGTAAAATTACGCTAAAGCAGCATTACTGCTAGGGGTCAACTCTATCAAAGGTCAGTAGCGTAAGGATTCATTCTACAGCAGGCTCACTTACA